TTTTTTTTTTTAATTAATTTAATTTTTCTTTTCACGTAGATTTTGTTTACATGTCGAAATGTGTACGGAGGAAAATTAGATATATATATATATATATATTTAAAAAATTCTTATTTTAAAAGAAAATGAAAAAAAAAAAGTGAAAAGAGTTCTCCTTAGTACTAAAAATAGTATCAGGCTCTCGGGGTGAACAAATTAAGAACTATAATGAAAAACACTCCCATTGTAATTTGATATTAACAAACATATTTTTCTTTTTCTTTCTGACACTTCCTCAAGGAAAAAGTTTTTATTTCATAAAACATCTTCTTTTGAACCTTCATTTAAAAGTAAATAATTCATTTAAAAAAAAAAAAAAAAAAAAAGAATAGAAAATTAAAAAAGAAAATATGTCTGATAATGATAAACGATGCCTGATATAATCTTTTTTTTTTTTTCTTTTTAATATTACAAATATTTAAGTATACAAATGGTTATAAAAACCATGCTTTTGCAATAATAATAGTTTCAGCATTTTTTCTCACTTGGTACCTCTTTTAAGAATTATTTAGACTCATCTCAATTGTATGATTGAGTGGTAATAAGGGTATAAATAATTTAGTAAACTTGTCAGTATTCATTCCAATTCTTTGATACGATCAGAAGATAAACACAACTCTGATCGTAAGCAAAGTTCTTTTTTCAATCGAGTGTTGTGTGAATAAAAACTAGAGAGAAACAAAGTCGTGATAAAAAAAAAAAAAAACAACCTTCATTGTAGTCTCGTGTAGGGCTACAAGAAAAAAGAAATTTCAAAAAAAAAAAAAAAATACATTCTCCCGTTCCATTGGAAAAGTTTTATACAAATAATGTTAAACAAAATATCAAATTAAATTGTTCGAAAAGGCAAATTACTCATAAAATGATAAAATACTTACAAAAACAAACAAAAAAATTGAAAAAACTATACAAAATAATCCTTCAACTATACAACACAATATATATATATTCTCCCATGACATTAAAAAGAGAAATTGATGTTTTTATAAATGTGTTTATTTCATTTTTTTGTTTCTTAAATTAAATGATTGCACCTTTATAAAACGTTAACGCACGTTGATGTATTATTCCTATGTTGACAGCAATAAAAAAAACCATTAACAAGTCGAAGGAAAATACTTAAATGCCTTTTTTATTTAATTTTATTACTAAATCCTACTTGTCAATTAATTAGATTTTTATTTTCTTGAATTTCTATTACACTATTTATTCTTTTCATTAATTTTAATTGAATGCAATATAAAAATTTACTTACCAGGAGAAGCTTAGAAGTGTAAACCTCAAATCTGTAAACATACAGAAAATCTAGTACGTTGTTTTTTTAAATTCCTGATGTCTTATAATCCATTGAAAGTTTTATGATTGTTCTCTTAATATCAGGAAATTTTTCTAACAAGGAGACATAGACTATTACAAGTGTACAAAATTTGAAAAGAAATTTGTGGTTTACACTTCTGAGCCTCTCCTGGTTAGTACAATATAATACTACAGTAGGAAAGAAAGTAATATTTTATGAAAGTATCTCTCTGTTAAGTATAGCATTATTATAATCCTGTATGTGTTAATACATATTGTTCTTATATTGTTTCAATTATATTTAAATATTGTTTAATTATGATTAGTAAATTGGTCTCGAAACGGTGGTAGATTTAGTATCCTAGCTGTTCCCAATAATACCAGCCCTGAAAGTAAGAAAAATAATAGTCTAATAATAAAATAACCTTAAAAAAATGTGCAATATTTATAATAGAAAATATAAATGTATTTAACAAAATTGGTAAAAGGAGATAATATTGGTGTTGTAATTAATGCAATATACCACTTGCTATAGTATACATCACTGCTTTTCCTTTAGTTTTTTGTAATTTCTTACTATTATAAGAAACATAAAGACCTGATCCAATCAAACCACCACCACTAATAATTCTGCAAGCCAAACAATCTCGATCTCTGTTAGTTATTATACTGTTAACTGTTCTTGACATTTTGTATAATAATAATAATAATAATATGTATATTAATTTTCAACAAATGATTCAAATATGAATGAATTTGATACTTTAAATTAGCCTAAATTGTCACAGATGATAACATACGTTAGAAGAGTGTTTCGATATAATAGGTTATGTTCGATAATATATCGAATATTTGATCGATTATTGAAAGTATCGTTTTCATGAACGATTTAAATGTACATTTTGTTTGTAATTGGATGTATTTTATTGATCTAATTTTACTACGATACAAAAAGATCAATTAAACTATCGATGCAATTAATAATAATATTACATTAAGTTGTATTATTATATTAAATTTATTTTATTTTAATTTGTTAAAATGGTGATAAGAAAATTACCTGAAATTAAATTTTATAGTATATAGTGTGTGTTCTATTTAAATTAACATTTTTATCAAGATTTATGAGTAAATTATAATAAAAAGGATAAAATGTTTAAATTTGGATTTTCCGAAAAAAATCATGCTAAAGGTATTCATCTATTAAACGTTTTATAATATTTATTAAAAAATAAATCAATTTAATGTAATATATATATATATATATGTTTGAGGTTATACCACCTTAACTATTGGCGCCATAATTTAAATGTGTTAAACTTATATTTTATAGAAAATAATATTGATAAAGAAAAATCTACTCTTGAATGGATTAATGCATCGAGGATTGAATTAACTTCATTTAATTACGATCGAAATTTTGAACCTGATGAATATTTAGAAACGAAAATCTTTGATGAAATAAAATTAAAATTAATCCGTTCTGACCAAGTACTGTGTAATTTAATAAAAAATAATTCAGTAAATATTATTGAAGCAGAATCACAGCATTCTGATCTTATACCTGCTAAATATGAAGGTATATCATTTAATTATAATTTAGTAATCTTATAATTAAAAGGAAAAAGAAAAATTCTATAATATTTATTGTAAAAACTTATTTCTAATTATCAAGGTGGTTTGAAGATATGGGAATGTACTTACGATCTGATTGAATATTTAATTAAAGAGAATATAACATTTGAAAATAAGTTAGTTTTGGATTTAGGTTGTGGTACTGGAATAATTGGATTAGTAGCACTCCTGAAAGGTTCTCTCGTTCATTTTCAAGATTATGTTTGTATATTTTTACTTTATTGTTCTTCTTCTTTTTTTTTTTTTATTATTATCTACAACATTTAAGATGATTTAGAATATAATACAAAGAATATTTTATACAGAATGCAGAAGTAATCAAATCAGTTACTATATCAAATGTTCTATTAAATTTTGAAAACAAACGTAAAATATTAGATAAGTGTGAATTTTATTGCGGTGATTGGGCATCATTTGTAAATCTTTTCAATAAAGATGAGAATCAAAAGTATGACTTCATTTTTACCAGCGAAACTATTTACAATCCTGATAATCATAGAAAATTATATGAAGTTTTTAAGAAGAGATTGAAACCTAATGGCATTGGGTAAGAGCAATATCTATTTCAGGATTTTTCATAAATATTAAATAACTAATTATTTTAGATTCGTAGCTGCGAAGACATATTATTTTGGTGTGGGAGGTGGGATGCGTCAATTTGAAACTATTGTAAAGGAGGATCAAATGTTCGACACTGAAGTGGTATGGAAAAATTCACAAGGTTTGTAATAATTGCTAAAAATATATTTCCTATTGATAACAATTCATAACAATTTCTCTTTTCTCTCTCTCTCTCTCTCTCTCTCTCTCTCTCTCTCTCTCTCTCTCTCTCTCTCTCTCTCTATAAGTAATATAATAAAATAATTTTATAATTGTTTATTTTAGGCCTACAAAGGGAAATATTAAAGCTTACCTGGCTTAAAAATAAAATAAAATAAAATAAAATAAAATAAAATAAAATAAAATAAAATAAAATAAAAATAAAAAGAATATGTGTACACAAACCAATTGAAATTGAAAAGCATTGCATGATAAGTATGCAATTAATTAAAATACTAAAATCTAATTCTTAAGGCGATAATCTTTCATAAACCCAACCATTTTCTCCTTTATGAACGAAAATATCATCAATTTTTTCGTTAGGTTTTGGCTTTCTGAAAATAATTCTATCATGCAAGCGATCACTTTGCCCTTGCCAAAATTCTATTGACTTTGGTCTAATTAAATAACCACCCCTATAAAAAATTAATAAATTCATTTGATATATGACGACTTCACATATTTTATAAGAAAATGAATTAAAAGACATTCAAAATAATGTTACCAATAGTCTGGTCTTTTAATGGTTTCTGGAGTAGTCGTAGCAAGTAATTCTTTTTCTCTTATGATAAGAGTTTGTCTGTTAGCAATGACGGAACTTTGATGACTTGCTGTTGATCCTATTCGACTAGGATATGGTCGACTTTGAAAATATTTATCTGAATCTTCAGCTGAAGTTTTTTCAGCTATTCCCTCTATTCGTATCTGTAATATTCGATAATTAAATCAATAATATTAAAAATTAAAAGATTATAATTTATAAATGAATAAATAATATAATGTACAGATCGGTGTAATGGTTCCCAGTAGAGGGTCATTGCAACATTAGGATTTTCTTCCTAAAAATCAAATTCAATTTAATTGTTATTCTTCATTTTAAAATAATAAATCAAATAATCTCAGTATATAAGCTTACTATTTCTCTACCCTTTCTGCTATTATAATTAGTATAAAATTTGAAACCATCCGCATTATAATCTTTTAATAATACTGCTCTTACAGATGGAAAGCCATCCCTGAAATAATATTTAATTATACGCATTTTATTATTCAAGTTTTTCAAATGAGATCTATATTTGTTTAAAATTTGTATTTTATTTTCATGCGTAGAATATCTTGACACTATTTGGTTAGAATAATCTTAGTCATCCAATAATATATTTAAAAAGTAAAATTACTTAGTTGCAGTTGCAAGAAATGCAGCATTTGGTTCAGCTATATTCTGCGTAGTACATGCTTTTGTAAACCATTCTCTAAATTGTTCAATCGGATCTTTGCTTACTAATTGATCTTCCGTAAATGTTTCATTTCTATCTTTATATTTTATTCGCAAACCTGTAAAATTATTATCAAAAATAATTATTATCATAAATGTGTAAAATTATTGAAAGAAATCTATCAAAGTTATAGTATAATTTAATTTCATTAAAAATGATAATAATTAAAAAGTAATAAATATATACCTCCTATATCAATATCTTTATTCAAATCAATTGTTATTCCTGGTTGTTTCGACATGATTCCTTCCAACGTTAGAACAACAACACGAATGATTACACGTTGGTAAAACTTTGCTAGTTATTTAATGTTTCAATCGATACGACCGTGAAAATTTGTAAAAACTACAACTTTTAATAAAACCTTTTATTATTTTAATGAATCTCTCTAATTGAAATGTTCATCATATTTGATTATCACTGTTTTTCTCATCTATTATCTTATTGCAAATATACTCTCTTTAAACGCTAGATTTTAAATTAAATTTGTATATTATTCAAGGTTATTTGATTCGGTTTTCCTCTTAAACCGTTATCAAAGGTAAATACAGTACCGTATTATGAGTCAACTGGTGCCAGGGTTAACATAATTATTCTCACTCATTTTCTTAAAAGATAATACAATTATTTTTAGTCATTCCGTCAATGTTATTTATCAAACTGCAGTTTCGAGGAACGATAACCTATTTAACCCTTTTTACTTGTGAGTAATCCATTCTTTTTTTTATTTATCAATAGTCTGGAATATTTTAGAAAATAGAAAATTTTCATTATGTGTATTGTCAAAAGCATACAAATATTTGTATTTTATTAATTGTAAAAAATAATATTATTATAAATCATTGTAATAATTATAATTGTAGTACTCTGTCCATGTTTATTAATGTTTTATAGTAATTAGGTAATTTTTTATTATTATTTTATGTTATACGCGTAAAATGTAAATTTAAATATTTAAAAAATGAATGAATAAATACAGTGATGCGAAAAAAAAAACGTGAATATTTATGAATTTCATAAAAACTTTCATTACTTTAATATAATTTTGAAAGATTTGAACAATTTTTCGAATTATTCGATATAATTCGACAAAAACAATATTTAATAATAAGCTTAGAAAATATTTGATTGGTTTCAATTGAAAGTCGTTATTGTAATAATATTTTCTTATTTAAATTTGATCAACAGCGCTTATTTATTTTTCAAGTAATATTCTTTTTCATATTATTTCAGTATTTTCAACATCTTTCATATAACATTCATTTCATATTGTGTTACAGTTTTTTTTTTTATTTTATTTACTTTTCTTGTTAAAAAGTATAAACTATCATTTATGTATATATATATGTATAAATATATTTGTTTATTACGATAATAAACATTTGTATTTATTTCAATGATGAATTATTGTAATAAAGTAGGGATGATGTGTTCATTAAAAAAATGGAATTGGTTTTGTGTGTATAACGATTGGATAT